CTGGGCATTTTTTACATTTTGATAGCTTCACTTCCCAAACTTTGGAAGCCCTAGCTGGCAAACTTGGAGGAAGCAGTAATTCCAGCCTGCCCACACCCTAGGACAACAGCTGACATTAGTAGTTCCAGGTTTCCTAATTCCTCCACTCCTTCCTCTCCCCACTACTGGACTGCTATAGAATAGACTAGTGTCCCACTGAGAATAGCTGTGAATTCTCCTCCTAGTTGACCTGTGGTTTGGTCTACTTTTGAGAAACACAGAAAGCAGCTCTATTATCTTGAGGAAAGAATGAGCAGAATTAGGGTGGATTACTACTATTTCCTGAGATACAAGAATGAAAATTCATTGGAATATCTCACTAATAATTATTTCATATTGATTACATTTTGAATTGATAATGTTTTGGATATATTAAATTAAATATATAATTAAAATTAAATTTATCTTTTTTTTTTTTTTACTTTTTGTTATGTGGCTACTAGAAAATTTATAGTTCCATATGAGCTCACATTTGTGTCTCACATTGGATTTCTATTAAACAATGTGCACTTGTTAGAGACGTAAGAGAATTTCTGAAGACAACTACTAGCCTTTGCTTTATCTAATAGTGCACCCTGTTAGGACATGTGAGCACGATTCCTTATTAAGACATGACACGATACGTCAAGTTTCTGTTTTGTGTCTAGTAGGTTATCTATGGTTTATCTGGACGTGGCGTCATGGTAGTCCCATGGCAGGCAGTCAGTTTGGCTGGCTTTATAATTATGTTCATACTAGCATTTTTGTCCTGCTCATTGGGAATCTTTGCCACGGCTATATGCAGAGGCAAACCTAGAAAATATTTGCAGATAGTGTCGATGTTAAGAGGTGGCCTGGGGGAGCTAAAGCCTCCTTATGATTTTCCTCTGGCCCTCCTCAGCCATAAACAGGCAATCTAAATAAAAACCCAGCTTCAAAGCAAACCTCCTACTACCCTAACTCCTTCTAACCAGAACTCTAGCTCTAAGCCCCTTCCATTTGGCAACTCAGGAGCTGCCCCTGGCCAAATAATGGCAGTGATGGTGCTCTCATGATTAAATGCAAATTTATGTGAAAACAGGGCAACCTGTTGAAAATCACTGTCTTTATTTTTTAAAATACTGTTTATGCAGGGGGTCAGTCATGGCCAGAGGGGAAACCTGCCTCATCTCCTCACCTCCGGTGTATGGTCAGCCTGAGTCCATTCCCAGGCTATTTAAGCTGGAGGTGAGGGATATTTTTATATATACACTCTCAAATAAAACTCCAAGAACCAACATCTTAATTCCCAACAGCCTAAGACAGGTACTCCTTAACCTTTCTGTTGCACTAACTCTCCTGCTCAAGTCGGAGTGGGAGCTGCAGTCCTAAATCCTATAGTCCTAAGCAGGTACTTTGACATACTCCATCTCATTCCCCTAAAGTGTAACTGACCAACTTAACAGCTTCTGCCCTGACAGCATGTGGTGGAGAGGACAAAGGGGACCAGGAAGAAGAGAACATAGCTGGAAAAAAAAAAAGGGAGTTCATTGGGGTGGGGAAATCATATCCAGGCTTTTAGGACCCTGTGTCCTTTCCCAGTCCTGAAGACGAGCAGATGAAGATAATAGAAGCAGTGATGGAGGTGGAAGGAGGATAATGTTACTTCTTCCCCAGCTTCTACAGGCCAGATCTACTGATGCCAGGCACTGTCCATCTTTTTCTTTTCTCCAAGACTGTGGCAGGTGGGAGTCACTGCCAACTGCTTATTCCCTGCAGGGTCAGTTTTGTTTTTCTGTAGATTAGGAAGTAGAGTTGCCCAAACTCCCAGTTCCTAGCCCTCTGTAAGAGGCCAGCACAATTTTCAGGCAATCCCATGTTCTGCTACCACACTACACCTTAGGAGGCTCGAACTCACAGCATCATAGAGCTAACTGCTGAGGTTACCCCAAAGCAGGGCAGCACCCATGCCAGAACCTGGGCTCCCGTCCTGCAGTTCCCCAGGCAGCCCACTCTCCCTCCCTGAGATGGATCAAACATTTCTGCATGTGGCTTTGTGCTCATAAAATGCATAAGCTTATAAGATGAAGAGCACCTGTATGTATTTCTGACAGTGACATCAAGAGGATATCTTGCAAGAGGTTACAAATGCCTCCACTGGAGAGATCTCAAAAGCTTAGCAAGGGGTTCCTCCAAGCAATTGTCCTTTCTTCTAATTATCACTATGGATGTATGAGTTTTCATGGCTACAAAGAGTTACACTCAAATATATAAATTGGGAAACCTACAAACTAGATGTTTGTTGAACTTTTAGGACAACTTATGAATGCTTTAAACTGCACCAGTTTCCCTTCTCATCCAGGACCATTTTCTTCTTTTGGCAGCTGGCCAGTACAGGGATCCCAAGCCTTGACCCTGGTGTTATAAGGCAGCAATCTAACCAACTTTGCTAAATGGCCAGCCTATTGGGACCATTGTCCGTGGCAGCCGGAATGCTGCGGGTTGGGCACTACATTTTGCCCTGGCAGAAACAGAAGGCAGAAGCACGGAGAACTAGCATCAGTGGGTGGGAGGTACAGGGCTGCAAACTGAGTCAGGTCAAGAATAATCAGGTCGTAACAATGAAAAACATCTTAGGGTGGAAGGGGCTGCCTCCTCCTCAGTTACTAAGCCCAGCCAGTTAACAGCCGGAAGGGACAATGTCCAGGGGCTTTTGGCTGTAGGATGGAGGGCTGAGCTGGCTTAGCAGAGGGCCAAGGCTCCCTTTCAGGGGGACTGCATTACTCGTGAGAAACACTGGCATGGCGACGCCCATACGCCAGCACCGAGGGGAGGAAGGAAGTGGGGTAAAGGTGACACGCTAGACGGGGAGGCTGTAGATCTTTACAAACTAGAACATATATTTTTACAAGCTGCAAAAAGTTTCCAACTTGTAAGAATACGTAGGGCGGTGGGAAGGGTGGGGTGAGAGGAGAGTGTGAGAAGGCCGCGCAGATCTGGGCTGTGGAAACGGAGCGAGTGACTTACTGTGAAAGGCAAGGAGCAGACGGCGAAGGTGACGGTCATGATGGCCAGGAGGATGAGGTGGTCCGTCTCCTCAGCCATGGACACCCCTTTCCTGCGGGCCCCGAGGCCGCCCTTGCCTCTGTCCGAGGAGGGTGTGCAGCGGCTTTTCCTGCCTCGGCGGTGCATGCGGATGAGGTTGACGATGACACTGAAGTTGCAGGCGAGCACCGCGACGATGAGCAGCAGCAGCAGGGTGGCGTAGAGCTGCAGGTAAGCGGTGCGTCCTTGCCGGATGAAGCACCACGTCCCGGGGCAGTACTGGACGTACTGCCCGTAGTCCAGCAGCGGCAGGGAGCAAAAGAGCAGGGAGACGGCGTAGATGGCAGGCAGCACGACCAGGCCCCCGCGGTACGTGACGTGGCGCTGGTAGAAGTAGGGGTGCCCGAGGGATAGGTAGCGCTCTAGGGCCATGGCGAAGAGCATGAGCATGGTGGCCAGGCTGAAGAAGGTCATGGTGAAAGCGAAGTAGGTGCACGCGCGGCTCTCGGGCGCCAGTGCCACCAGGGTCTGGTTCCGTGCATACGAAATCAGCACCACGGGGCTGATGAGGCAGGTCCCGAGCAGGTCGGTGAACACCAGCTCGGTCACAAGCACGTGGAACAAGGAGATGGAGTTCCTGCGGCCGGCGCTGTGCCCCGCGTCCTGCCGCCAGCGGCGCGCCAGCAGGGCCAGCGCGATGAGGTTCCCCAGCACCCCGGCCGAGAACATCACGGAGCTGATGGCTGGGCTTTCGCCCGAGGGGAGCCACTGTCGAGTCTCGCAGTCCTCGAGCCGCGAGCCATTGGGGGCATTGCCCATGGCGGGGTGCCTGAAGGAGAGATGCGCCCTCCTCTCCCGGTCTATACCTGGGAGGAGGCGGGTCTGAGAGCCAAAGGGCTCCAAGACTCAGAGGGAAAAGGGGAGGGACCAAAATCCAGAGCCCCTTTCCGGCCCCCGGCGCGCGCCGAGGGCAGGCTGATCCCCAGTCTCTCGCCGCGAGCCGAGTCGCAACTCGGCTGCAGCATCCGGGCGGCGCCCAAGGCTGCTTTGCCGATTCGCGCCCCCCGGGGCTGCGAGCCGGAGTGGAAGGGAGCCGCCGCCA